TGGTAGAGAACACCTGAGTCTGGCAGGTCAGGGGTAGAGGAGGGAACATAAACTGCTCTTACATTAAATGTCTCTGGAAGTATGCAAGGAAAAGGATGAAGATGGGAATATGTTCTTACTCTTGTAATTACAGAATTTTGAACTATGGGACTATTTTACATATTTTAAAAATATTAAAAACTTAAAAATTTAAAAAATAACATTCTCAGCCATAAAGCTAGGTGCTTTCTAGTAAGGACCTAGACTATAAAAACATGGTAAAAACAAGTGACATTTTCTTTTAATAGTGCTAAATACCTTAATCCATACTATTTTCTAGTATGAAAATAGTTTTAGGAATATATATGTACAAGAATAGGGCAAGCTATTAAGTTAACTTTATTTTTATTTAATATAACTGATGTAGTTACCAGACAAATATATCTTAATGTAACAAAAAGTTATAATTGATGTTCATCATCTATAATATAAAGAATTTCAACATTTTAGTATAGCCAAAGACAATATTTGAATTTTACCCATTTCTGAAATGTAAAATGCACAATTATAATATCCATACTACAGGTCTTACAATTTTAAAGTTTTAGCTAAAACATGAGTCTCTGTAGATAAAAGCAAGAATTCTTTTATACCTAAAACAAATAAAATGTGTTACTAATAAAGTGCCACTGGATTAAACAATGCCATTTCAACTATTTCCTTTTTGGAGAGAACACAGGTACATAATAGTGCAGAACTAGTCATTTTCATTATACTAGCATAGAACTAGTAATTTGCATTATATTTTATAACAAGCACAAGAGTGCTTATTTATTAGGTATTAACCGTAATAATTCCTCTCAAGAAAGATCATAACTATGACTTATGACAAGCTGTACAGTCATCATTGAATATAGTTTAATGTCTAGAGTTTTTAAAAAATATAATCTCAACCTAAGATAAATCTAAGTCTACCAACGCCAAGAAATAGTTTTAGGGACTTCATATAAATAAAAGAACCTTTCTCTCAATTGTAAAATAGGGGTTTCACCCAATTCTAAGGCGAGAGGAAGAGTGGTGGTTGGTAAAGTTTGGCAACAAGTATGTTTCTAGCAGGTGAAAGCCTGATATGCATTGCTATAAGATGCATCTTTCACATAAGGAAAACATGCTAATTAGATGTAGGCAGCACTTCTCAGGCACTTGACCTCACTTGGTACTTAAGTTGATGTCCAGATGTATACTTAATGGAGAAACATTATATAGTGACTTCAAGTCATGTTCTCACAGAACATCTGTGTTCCATAAGCTAAATCCAAATGTTCCCTGCTAAAATCAAATAATGATGCCATATATCCAATTCAGGAGAAAAAATTTAATAGATTAAAGTTAATAGATTGAATTTTCTCAATTTTAAGATTTTTCCACAATAAATTTTTCATAGCCTTTGTTGTCTATACTTCTCTGAACGCTAGGAGAAAAAAAGGCTTAAAAACTATAAAATATTATGCCTAAGTTAGAAAATTTTAAACTGTTGATCAGTTCAGTATAACATACAGTTTATGGAAATATGCTTATAGTTTGCTCTTATACTGCTTAAGAGCCACATTTTCTCATAGTAAATTTGTTTCCAGTTCATATTATAGAATTCAGTATGTAAACATTTTCATGTACACAAAAAAGAATTATGAATTTTTGATCTATTGTCCCTAAATATGTTTGAGAACCACTACAACTTTGTCTGGCTCTAAAAACTACCTTTGGGGTCCATGCCAAAGGAATGCTTTCAGATACATCATTAAGGTTTGAGTTCTAAGGTAAGACTACCAAATTCTATTCTAAAATGAAAAAAATATGGCAAGATTCCAGTATAGATGTTACCAATGTTCCCATTTTTTTCTTTAATACTTAGCATATAGGTTAAGTATGTTGATGTTAAGGATTTTTTTATTTGCATGTATCATTGTATTACAATTTGGGAAAATTTTGCAATATACTTTCAGGCAGTTAGCTTTAAAATAATGCAACTTCAGCTCTTAGCACAAACAGCCCTGAGAACAATGCATTCAAATTACAGCTCAACTAGAAATAATCTAATTGAGAAACTTTGAAGTTACAAAAACAAATTCTGGAAAAGTTGTAAATTAAAAAAAAAAGTTACCAACATTTGAGGCACTACCAGACTACAGTACTTTTAAGAGTTGGAAGGACTTTGTAAAAAGAATAAACATACAAAGCTATGTGTGCATATGCACATACTCACATTGTGCTATAATGAAAAATTGTGTCCCCAAATTTTATAGCCTAAACATTTTATTACAGCATCTCCTATTAAAGATATCATGCTCTGGCTGCAGGGAGTTTTGGTAATCATTATAAAGCATTGGTACAGAATTTTGTACCATAAATGGTAACGGATTCAAGAGCTTGGTTAGCAACAATTTCAAGTGACAGACAGCCCTTGGAGGGGAGAATGAAAGAAACATCATATTATGTTTATGATGCAAATGCTAAGTCAAAGTAGCAATGATTTGATCTATTTCAGAGGGTATACAACTTTGTAGTAGCAAATAAGATATAACAAAGTCTTCACAGTAGAAATAAAATACTTTGCTCTAGAAAGAAACAAATATTCCATTTGTTTATACTGTATATAAATTGGTGAAATGCCTGCAGACAAAAATGGTGTATCATTGTATAATCTATCAACAGGACAGTCTACACTCTATACATGGTAACCTGTGATATTTAACATTTGCTACAGAAAAGTACAACAAATACTAGGAGTCAACTTTTAATATTTCTGATGTCAAAAAAGAATGAAGTCACTTCTGTTCTATGTTAAAAAATATGTTTACCTGCTTCCTTTTAATATAATTTATAAAGCTTTACTAAAGGAAATATTTTATTCTAGAGAAACATGTATTGACTTATGTGAAAATAAAGTCCCATATCTTTAAAATCTATACTTATAATTATATATAAGAGTATTTACACTTCATTATAGTACTTAAAATATTTACGCATAAAAGCTTTTGCCATTCAAAGTATGAAGATAGAGATGCATTATTATAATTTACATATGCTTACCTCACAATTGAAAATGTATTTATGTGAAGTTTGACAAGTTAGGAACAACAACAAGGGCATGCTAATCCAGAATTCATAGTAAACTAGAACACTAATATGGTTAACCGGGGTCAGATGAGTGACCAGCAAGTAGCACAGATTGAGAACTTCCCGGGATTCCTGTGGGTAACAATGCAACGAGCAACAAGTAAAACACACAGTACAGAGTACTAAAAAACTAGAGCAGTATGTAGTAGATATTTAAACGGAATACTGGAAAGAATTTAGCCTAATTCCTAATTGTGCTTTAGATGGGCAAAAGCTAAAATGTTACACTAAAATTATTAACTACAATCTCAGTATTTCTTGTGCTTTAGAATTCTCCTTGCATTTCTTGTTTCTTTTCCAAATGCGTTTGCTGAAGCCAATATAAGATTTAAAAATGTGCACAAATTAAGTAACTAAAACCTTTGGAATCTTCTATTCCTACTGCTATATTCAGTCACTGATTAGATCAGTTACAGCATCATATGTGTTTTCCTCTAGATGATAGAAACAAAGGCCTTTCAGAGATCAAGGGATGATGGGAAAGGTCTCATACTCAGTCTTAGAGAATGAAGGTATTATTGAAGTAATGATTTTGTTCTAAGTTTCATTTCAATATGATTGTTATTAAGTCAAAGGTCCTCACAAACCCTGTGACCATGTCCAGAGTCCTGGAAATAAGATATATATGATCCAAAAGACTAAAGAGAAATGTAGCTGTGTCTCCTAGAATAGTTTTTAAAATAATTCAGTTTGCAGAACTCTTTCCTAGTTATGTTTCATACCAGTAACTGAATTAAGTACATAACAATCAGAAAAAATACATGTACTTCTTAAAATAAGTAAAATAATACTTATCACATAAAGTAACTCTTCTTCCATGATTTACTTTCATTTCACTTTAGAAAAAGTATACATAAATTTAACAAATGTTCCAAATCAATTTAAAGTAAGAATTTCCAGTTTTTGTCTGACAACTAAATACTTTAATGTCAAAAAAAATCTCCTTAAAAATGGTTGGAAAGGAGGGACTACTATAAATACCAACAATTTATTCAACGTAAGTAATAAAAAGCACTGTATCGTACCCTAGAAAGCAGGTCACTCCTTTAAATACAGAGAGAGAACAAAAGGGAAAAGCAAAAACATAACTAGAAACTTCCTATTTTTATGCTGATTACACAGGCCTCCAGTAAAGACCTATAGCTCTAACCAACACCTGTGCCACTGTCCCTTGCAGACTCCTTTACAATCTGACTAGCTAAGAATAGTCACCCAACAGTTCAATGCCTCCCTGTCAACCACAAGCAGGTATCAAAATTACTACATAGAAGGTTATGTTTAGTCCTCCAACAATTTGGCAAAGAAAAGTGTGACTGAGGTAATACAGGTAATACAGGTGGCTGCACATGCCTATTAAGATAACCGACACTTTTTGATAACATGATTTCTGTTTAAGGATTTGTTCTTGCCATACACAGGCTGAAGCTGTGACAATTCCAATCCATAATCTACTTATTCTCTATTAAGTCTGAAATTATTACAGAGCAATTCAACTTAAATGTGGTACTTCAATACCACTAGATGCTACATTGTCTGATTTAAAACCCTGGTTTATTATCAACTAAAATTCAGGAATGATTTGCTCAGACAAATCATACCTGCTAAAGCCATCTTATCTGTTTCTTGGACTCACTGAAAACCACAACAAAGTTATAAGGAAGACACCTACAAAATTAAAAAAACCCAGAATTACACAGCTTGATTATTTTAAATTACCAATTGCCTGCAAAACTAACTCAGCACAATTATTTCAAAACAATTAAAAAAGAAATGAGGTTGCTTATGAAGGCCATAGCTTTGGTGACAACTTAGAACCAAACTTTAGATCTGTGGCTGATCCAGACCTAAACATTTTGCTCATGCCTGATGTTCCCATTTATTTGCAGGGCTTTATGGCTACAGCATATTCTTCACTCATTGCACACATAACAGACACCTAGAAGGGAAAAACGAAGGCAAAAAGTTATTCAGAAAGCAATACATATATATTTAATTTATTATATACTGGATATTTGTGGATATTTTATACACATTGACTTTGGAAAGAGGTATCCTAAGTCCAGATAATCTATTTTCTTTATAGTTTTCTGAAGTAAAATTTCTCAAATTGTGGTTTTTAAGGTAACTTCCAGGGAACAGGGAAAAAAGAGCTATAAATGCCTCAGTACTTATTAGATATTATGCTTCTGAGAGTTATAACAGAGTAAATCACCTTCACGCTTTAGTATTCCCATAACATCCTTTTTCATACTTAATAGCTCATATGCTGATCTTCAAAACAAATTTGGGGCTGGCAGTGTCTACCTAGCAAAAAGTGAACTTTGATACTTTCTTTGGTAATGGGTCTCTAAGGGTATCATGGGAAAACTGTCTTATAGAGATCATTCTCAATTTCAGCAGTATTTAAGAACTACATTTCATAGTTGGCATTTTTTGCTAACTAGATTAGGACAAAGTTTTTATAAAAAGCAATCTTCCCATAGGTCTTTACCTGTACATCTTCACCTGCATTGTATTTTCCTTCTATTTCTTTACCTAGTTCACCTTCTGGCAGCTTAAGATCCTCACGAACTTCACCAGTTTCTGTCAGCAGGGAAAGGTAACCATCCTGAATGCATATTAGCTATTAAAAGAAATTATATCATTTGCACTGATTAGACTATATTCACTCTTTGTAGTATTTACATAGTTCAGTTGCAATCCACATTAATTTGTACAGCTGCACAGTAATACATTAATATACTCTTAGAGCTTAAAAATGTTAAACATATAAAAGTATAAAAGATGTATAGACTAAAAGTGTAAGTTCACTTCCTCCTGCACACCACCTTCCCCCAAATCTATATACATAGTATGTCCTGAAGAATTCACATTTATGTACACAATACAAATATGGTTGCTTTAAAAAAAATAAATGGGAATCTAAAGTGATTCCCTTTCCAAGGGGCCTGCTTGTGCCCCTCTTCAGGAAAGTAGCAACTTGGAATAAATCTGGCATGCCTTAGGTTGTTGGGGGAGAAGGGATGTTTTTCCCTTTGCCTTCCTTTGGCTACCTACACATATACTTCAATCCCTTCTGGATAGATTGTGCCCTCTTCTCATTCACATGCTGAAGTTGTCCTCTCCCTTAACACTAGGCCAAAGGCATTGATGGGTAGCAGATTTCTTTAGTCACCAACTATGACCTTCCCACCAAAGGGGGAAAATTTATCCACAGAATTGGTCATGGTGGATGACTCGGCTGTGAGGGTGTGGCCATTAACATGGTGACAGAAGATGACAAGAGAACTCTTCAAGACATCAACACCTTCTACAACACCTCCATTGAGGAGATGCCCCTCACTGTTGCTGACCTCATCTGAGGGGCTGCCCTGCTATCTAGCCCTACCCAGGGTTCAGTCCATGGGAGGCTGAAGAGAAGCAGGAGTGGGGAGGGAAGGGAGTCATGGGATGGACATCTTGTCATTTTTTTTTCTTTGAATAAATGTACTTTTTGAGGCAAAAGAACAAAAATAAATGGGACATTACAGGTATTTTTCAGCAAGTTGTTTTCACTTAACAGTATGTCTTAGAAATCTCTCCAACTTGGAAACTATGGACCTACTTTAGTCTCTTTAACCACTTCACAACTGCATAGATAGATTGTAACTGATTTAACTGTTTTCCCATTAATGGGCATAAAATTAATTTTAGTTTTCTATGATTACAATGTGTTTTATAATTTGATTATGAACAAACTTCAGTGGAAAACTTTTGGTCTTCAGTTCAATGAGGACATTAGATTTTTTAAAAGACAAACACTAGCTTGTTGATGATATTGAGACAAACCCAGTCTAACCTTCAAAAAGACACAATTTTGATATCACTCAATTTTTTTTTTATTATAGGAATGAGGAAATGGCCAGGCTGTACTCATTTATTCTCAAAGCATGTACACCATCAGTATGCCTATAATTCTAACAGATTTTATAAAAGGCAGTTAGTTGTTCAGAACATTGACAAACACAAAAGGGGTCACAGATATGATCCTTACCTCCCTATAATTCGTTTTTTTTGAAAAAAAACTGAAAAAATTTTTTCAAATTTTTCAAAAAATTGAAAACTACCACAGACATAGTTTTCAAAGCTCTCTTCTACGGCACTACCAACCAAATCTGGCTATGGCTTTCCACAGATACCCCAACAAGAGATTTCAGCTTTTGCACATGTCTAAAATCTCAAAAACAAAAAACCACCCTACAATGCAACCACAAATACTTTAAATTCATCTTTACATCACTCAAACATTTGTAATGTGGTTGGTAGAAGTGGGAAACAAGCAGGTTGAGGCAGAAGTGTAGTTTTTTTTGATCATACCAATCTTTGTATATACTACAAAGTGATCACCACAATAAGTCTAGTTACCATCTGTCACCATACAATTGACCCCCTTTACCCATTTCACTCATCTCCCACCACCCTCCTTTCTAATAACCAACTACTAATCTGCTCTATAAGTTTTGTTTTGCTTTTGTTCACTTGTTTTTTACATTTCATGTGTAAGTGAAATCATACACTATTTATCTTTCTCTGACTTATTTCACTTAGCATAATACATTCAAGTTCCATCCAGATTGTTGCAAATGTCAGCATTTCCTTTTTGATGGCTGAGTAGTAGTCTACTGTGTATGTATGTATGTATGTATGTATGTATGTATGTATATATGATGTATGATATATATATATATATCACATCTTATCCATTTGTCCATTAATGGACATTTAGATTGTTTCCATATCTTGGCTATTATAAATAATGCTGCAATGAACTTCTGGGTGCATATATCTTTTGAAATTAGTGTTTACATTTTCTTCATATAAATACCCAGAAGTGGTATACCAGGATCATATGGTAGTTCTACTTTTATTTTTTGAGGAACCTCCATATTGTTTTCCATATTGGCTGCACCAATTTACATTCCCAGAAACAGTGCATGAAGGTTCTTTTTCTCCAGATCTTCTCCAACACTCATTACTTTTTGTCTTTTTGATAATGGCCATTCTAACAGGTATGAGGTGATATCTCATTGTGATTTTAATTTGAATTTCCCTGGCAATTAGTGATGTTGAACTTCTTCTCCTGTACCTGTTGGCCATCTGTATCTCTTCTTTGGAAAAATGTCTATTTAAATCCTCTGCCCATTTTTAAGTCAAATTGCTTGGGGTTTTTTTTTTGCTATTGAGTTGAATTCTTTATATATTTTGGATATTATTGGATATGTGTTCTGCAAATATTTTCTCCCATTCAGTAGACAGCCTTTCATCTTCTTGATGGTTTCCTTTGCTGTACAGAAGCTTCTTAGTTTGAGGCAGTCCCACTTGTTTATTTTTGCTTTTGTTGCCTTTGCTTTTGGTGTCAGATCCAAAAACTTAATGCCAAGACCAATGTCAAGAAGCTTACCACCAATGTTTTCTTCAATGATTTCAGGTCTTACATTCAAGTCTTTAACCCATTTTGAGTTAATTTTTGTGTATGGTGTGATATAGTCTAGTTTCATTCTTTTGCATGTGGGTGTCCAGTTTTCCCAACACCATTTATTGTATTATTTTAAACAATTAGCCACAGGCTTACAAGATAGATCTTTTTGATTTTGGCCCTTTTAGCAATTCCCTGAAGTAGAACTTGTCTATTTCAAGAATTAAAAGTTCCACTGTCATTTAGTGACAGAAACATAAAAGCCATATAATAATACTGATACTTGGTATTTATTTATATAATGGTGATTTTCATTTCTAAAGAGTTAAGAATTCATGAGTTAAACTACAGGATGAAAGAAAAAGCATTTCAAATAAAAAATGTATAGACAATATAAAACATCTAGTAAAACAACATATTTTAAAAATTAAACATCTTATTAAAATAAATTGTTATGTGAAATAAAATTAAAATTTTCAAAAATAAAACTAAACTATAGAAAAATAGAATAATGAAAATTATTTTACCTTCTTACATAAATTTAAAAATTTTCAGATATACAGAAAAGGTGCAAAAGTAATACATCAAAATCCCCTATCTTTTCCCCAGACTCACCCACTGTTAACATTTAACATGTGCATTTTTTCTTTCTGTGTATAGGAATACATAAAATACATACAATATACCTTCTTATTCTTTTCTTCTTTTTACTGAACCATTTGAGAGTATGTTTTAAACATCACGACTCTTTAGCAATAAATATTTGTGTATTTTCCTAAAAAGACAAACTCATATAATCAGCTTATTTTTCAAAGTTAAAAAATACAGTATTGCTGAAATATTATTTAATATATAGTCCATTCAAATTTGCCAATTGTTCCAATATTGTCTTTGATAGAAATTTTTCCTCCCAACTCCAGGTTCATACCTTGTATTTATTTGGTGTGGATAGGTGCATGAAGACCACCACAGCACAATAAATGTCATTGAAAAGGCTCACAGAGCTAAATTTTTTAAATGAACAGAAATAAGTATTCTAGGCTGACCTGATAACGAAGGGGTGTGCTTACTGAGTACTTACCATGCAAGGCACTGCTCTAAGTAATAACTAATTAAACCTCACAATGATCCCATGAGGAGTTTATTATTCCTATCCTCATTTTATAAATAAAGAAAAAAAGGTGAGAGGTTAAGTAACTTGCCAGCTAAGGTCACATAATTAATAAGTGTTAAAGTAAGGATTGGGACCCAGCCTGTCTGGCTTGAGTCATTCTCTTATTATCCATGATACAGTGTAGACCACATACCAAAGGCTGAGACAGGATAAAGCAAGTGAGGCACTAATTTTGAGTGCAAAATTTAAGGTGGCACCAAAAAAATTCATCAGTGATCAAACAAATATTTTAAAATTAGAATTAAGGGCGCCTGGGTGGCTCAGTTGGTTAAGCAACTGCCTTCGGCTCAGGTCATGATCCTGGAGTCCCAGGATCGAGTCCTGCATTGGGCTCCCTGCTCGGCAGGGAGTCTGCTTCTCCCTCTGACCCTCTTCCCTCTCGTGCTCGCTATCTCTCATTCTCTCTCTCTCAAATAAATAAATAAAATCTTTAAAAAAAAAAGAAAAAAAGAAAATTAGAATACAAAAATTCCATGAACAAAATATCAAAATTTTAAATAAAGACAATTTGAGTTACTGATTTTTCCTTTTTGCCTAAGGCTCCTTATGTGACTTGACACTGTTAGTGGTCTTGTTTTTATTTAAAATCTTGTGCTCACATATCTCATTCCCCTATACCCTGCTGTATCCCTAAATAAAACCCAAACCAAATTTTTCCTTTATGTTAAATCTTGAGCTTCAATCAATGATTAATTTGATCATAGTAATAATTACTGATGAATCACTGATACTATCTTTCTGAAACACTCAAAGACAAAAGTGTTCTATATTGAATGCATATTAATGTATATAATGAATATTGAACATTCAAAGCATTCACATGTCAAGGATGAAAACAGACATCCATTTTTGGCAAAAGAAAAGTGTATGCTTAGCCTTATGCATTTAACAAATGTTTATTGAGCACCCACTATAAGCCATGTCTAAATAAGGTCATCCAGCTAGAAAGTGACAGAACTAGATCCAAACCCAACTGTCTGACTAAAAAAAACCCATATGCTATTGTTATAATAAGACAATTCAAATTTCTACAAAGACTCCAAAGCAACCTAGAAAACATAAGTGGGAAAGTGAAAATATAAAACTGCTTACCAGATTAAAACTATGTAAAAATATTTTTACATGTGGACAAAGAGTAAAAGGAAATCATATGTTAATTGCAGTTGATGATAACATGCTTGAAAAATTATATAACACAATAAAAGGTAGAGTAAGAAATCAGTTTAAAAAGAATAAAAAAATCTAAGTGTCACACATATATTTTTCACTGTGTAAAACGAACAGAAAAGAATTCTATGTATAGTATGCTTAACAGTGAGATTGAAGACTTACAAGAAAGACTTTAGTTATGATTAATTTGAGCTCCTACATTCTATGAGGTCAATGGTTTGGTTACCACCAATACTCCAAAACAACAAAATGCTATCATTAAACATGACCTATCCAAATGCATAATTGGAACTAAAAGTTGGAAGTCTATACCTATAATTCAACTAAAGGTCACAGCATGGTCACTGAATGTAAATGAAACAATTACATAGTTTTGCATTTTCTTAACCACATGTAGTGGCCATATACTTTCTTTTATTAATGGCTTTCAACTTACTTCCCTATTTAAGAATACCAAATTCTGATTCACAATCATTAATACACAAACTTGGTTGCTGGAACATGAATTCCAATGATTTCTTAAAAGTCTTGGGTTTGAGAAGTAAAAAGAAATAAAACATCCAGGAGGGAGTTATCTAAATTGGAAATATTTTACAACAAACTGAATAGCAGTTTCATTAAACATTGAGCTTATTCAGTCACAATATGCAATCATGTGGTCTGAGAAATAATAAGACATGCTCAACTTTAAAAACGCAAGAATGTTAAGAAAAAAAACCCCAGCAAATTAGCCATAATTCTAGATAAGGTACAAGGGTTAAATATCACTATTTTTCCAACTTCTAAGCTAGGTGGTGCCTAATATTTGGTTAGAAAAATCTACAAAACTACTACCAGGTTTTGTCAAATTACAGTTGATAGTAGTATGTATTTGCAACTTTAAGAAACAAAGCAGCATTTTAAAGGAAGTTAGTACTCACTTGATAATCATTTCTCTTAATATTTGGAACATCCATGTTGTGAGTAGAAGGGCAAATATCTTCATATTTTTTGCCGGTGAAAATGTCAATTCCAACGAGGTGAACCTAACAAAGAAGGGAGAACAGGAAACCTGTTTAATCTTTGCCAAGTATATCACTCATTATATACACAAGAGCACAATACCAAAGCTGATCATGACAGATTCTTTCTCTTTCCAAGGTCATCTAATTTTATTTTCTTAAAAAAAAATGCAGTGGTCATAGAATTGAGAAGCAGTGAACAACTAAACAGTTTCATGACATATCAAGACCCAATATCATACACAGCCCAGTAATTCAATTATAAGAGTACATAAGAGAAATGCAGTTGTGTTAGAACAGGTTTTCTCATCTGTAAACTGGATATTCCAAGTCACTAGGATTCAGGTAAGTTTCAATTACCAGCTAATGAAACATTATAAAGGCCGCAAAAGGAAATGCTACCTTTCAGTATTCAAAGCAATAGCTGGTCACTGCGAAATTGTGGTAAGAAAAAAAATGTAATTATTACAAAGTTATAAATATGGAAATCTCATGTTCCGTACTGGAATGCAAATGACCAAAATCCCAACGCAAAGAGAGATCTGGAAGGGCACTTACCTTGGCATGACCGTGCTTTCCAGTTTTGGAAGTTGACATCTCCACTATTTTGCATGGTCGTCCTTTGAGAACCACGAAGCCGTTTTTGCGCAGGGCCGAGCACTGCATAGGGTAAGTGCTGGAAGCCCCAGCATCTCCAGTAGTGAAATCAATTTCATCCGCCATGGTGGGCTGGGGAGATGGTAGCTTTTCCGAGGGAACTACGCAAAAAGTTTGTGTTTGCTTTTTAACAACGGGAACGCAGGCAGGGAAACATCTCATTTCGAACAGGTTACGTACCAAGCATCATGGGATCAATAGATTTTTTTCATTTATAAAACACTCACCCAAGAATAGTGGGCACTTTCTAACTCCGGCCTCCTTATAAACTTTTCTAACCATTGGTGGGGAGGTGGGGAGATGGGGAGGGAAGTCGCAGATGAGCTCGCTGGGGGTGGGGGATGTACCCGCCCTGGGCACTCACCCGCGCTGGAGGCAGCAAATCCTGACCCCCATTGTCCCACCGCAAGAAGAGCCAGCGACCTTCCCGCATCGCGCCGCGCCACCCGGCCCTTCGCCGCCGCCCTTATCCCACTGCGGGGTACCCAGCCCAGGCCGCACGTCCCCGTGAAGGATGGGGATAACGGGACTTGGCCAACGGCACCTGGCCCTCGGGCAGCGGGCTTGCACTCCGCCCTCCAGCCTGCGGCGCCGTCGCCCCGGCCTCTCAGGCGCCCCCTTGTCCTGCCGGCATCCCCGGCCCGGCCGGGCCCGGCCCCGCATGGGCCTGAGCCCTGGCGGGTCCCGCGCTCGCCTCGGTTCCCCCATCCATCCTTCCTCCTTCCCTCGTTCAGGACTCGGCTCTGGCCGCCTTCTCCCGCCGCCTTCTCCGGCCCTGCTTCGCTCTGGTCTCGGCCCCACCAGCTTTTCCCCTGTCTTTACCTTTCAGCAGGGGAAGAGATCCTCTCGCCTGCGCACCGGCGCCGGTTCCCTACAGCTGCGGCGGCGGCAGCGGTGGCGGCCCCGGCAGTTCCAAGAGACGGGGCGGGGCAGCCACACTTTCCACACCCCGGCCTCCCCGCCCTTTCCCGCCCCCACCTCAGCCCCACTTCCGGGATAGGTCCCGGCGCGTCACAGGCACCGCCCTCTCGGGCTACCATTGGTTACAATGTTCCTGAGGCCCCGCCCAGTCACGTGAAGCGCGCCCTGGCAACCCCACGTGCTGCGGATTAGTGCATTTCCGGCGTGGAGAGCACTTTCTGGAGTCCGGTTGCTGAGGGTGAACTCAATGGTGAGGAAACTTGCTACCTCAAACTTTCGGGTTTCGTTGCACTCTGGTCCCAGCTGAAGCTAAAACGAGAACCAAACCACGCCCTTGGTGGCCCTTGCCTTCAGGTGCCTGGTGGTTGTCACGTGACTGTGGTCAGGACGCCCGAGGCAAGCGAATTCAATGGGTGTCTTGCGTGGTTATGGAGGGAACTTTGGGGTCGAACTTCTGGCCCAGGTTGGTGGTCGAAACCACACTTGTTCCTCGAGGAAGAGCCCAAATGCAGTATTTTATTACCGGCTCAGCCCCACCGACTCACGGCACCCCAGACGTCCATGAGATTCTGGCAGTAACTGCCACTGGGTGTCTGAGCAGGGTCAGCAGTGCCCTCAGGGGTGGGAACTGCTGAGACATCCCGGAACCAAACAGCAGCGTGAAATGACCCAGTCCATTCCTCACACTAGGCTTGTTGTGGAGTTGGAGGTGAATGGGTGTCCGACTCCTACTGCATAATCCCGTCCAGAAACTGAGACCAGTCCAATTCTGACAAACTTGGCTCTTCTTTCCTCTTGGCACTGGCATTCCTTTGAGTTTGAGGTATGTTCATAATCCATTAGAGCAGTTGGTTGTCTTCATAATCGACCAGGAGCCAATAGAGACTAGACTAGGATTAAGGACCAAAGTTCTTAAAAGAAATGTGCTCCTTTATGGTCCATTTCACAGTGCACTACATTCTACTTTGGAGAGGTGACCTACACTTCCCCAGTTTATGTGTTCCTGTAATTTTGTATTGCTGTCTCATGAATAGTTAGTCCCCTTTCTCACATTACTATGTGGCTCTACCGTTTGCACAGATATTTCACACATGTGGAATTTAACCTTTATAATAAGCAAGAGAACTCCCATAAACTGAATTCAGCCTGTAGCTAATATTTGAAAGAGTCCAATTAGAACCCTGTTTCATGAGTCCACTTTGCTTTTCCTTATACCACCTAATTTTCCCTAATGTTATTAGAATGATTGCTAGCATTTATGTGAGTGGTAGGGCATTAAATGTTTTATGTGCATTATTCCTTTAATCTTAACTGTTACTCTTTTTTTAACCTCAAGTTTATTAAGTTATAATTTATACAAAGTAAAATTTACCCTTTTTAGTTCTGTGAGTTTTAAAAAACATAGGCAGTTATGTAACTACCACAATAATCAAAGAATATTTGCCTCATTCCAAAAGTTTCCTCCTGCCTCTTTGTGGTCATCCCCTCCCCCCACACCCAACCCCTGGCAGCCATTAACAACTACTGTTTTATCTACATTTTTAATTGTGAGAAAAAAGCAGAGAAGAATAATTTGCCCCAAATTAAACAGCTGGCAAATCAGAGAGCCAAGATTGAACTCTAGGCAGTTTGGCTCCACAATCACTGCTTTAACTACCATCATTACTGCATTTGCATAAGATTTAGATTTGGAATCAAATGATCTGGCTTCATTCATTCAACAAATACAGTCAATTCTAGTGAAGTTGCTGGAAGACTGAATCAGCAAATACTGAACCATTGCTCCTAAGGGAAATGCAGAGTTAGGTTCCTTTGAGCCTCTGGTCACAACATTTTTGTCAACTGACCAATTTATAATTTAATGTGTGTTTTAGTTTAAGAACACCTTATTTAATATATATTGATTCATTAACATTTAACTCACAGCCAACAGCACTATAATTATGCCTGAGGGGAGCTGATCTAACACATGTATTTTCTCTGTAAGGCACATCACAGTCTTCTTGTGCTTAGAAACACAGCATTTTAGCGCTATGCTTCAGGGCCATTTTAAATAGCCATGTCACCAACAGAAGTCACAAAAATGTGAGAAGTGGCACTAATAGACTGAAAAGAAACACTTGTTTAATTTGACAGCTATAATAAGAAGGCAGAACATCACCTCGTTTGACCTCAGCTAGGAAAATATGCATTGGATGGCTTCTATCTTTTGCTGTTCTGTGCTTGTCCATAAATGACTCTGAAAGCAGTGCTAGTTCTGATTACAAGTAAATTGAATGCATAGGAAATTCACAAATATGAGGTCTGTGAATAATGGGGAGTCACTGTTTTTATTTTAGTACCCTCAGCCCTGAAATTACCATGTTGATCAAGACAGCCCCTTGTTCATTAGGTGCTTGCAGTCTATTACAGGATACAATTTACCAATTTTAACACATAAAATAAATACTGCTAAAGAAAAAAGCTACAGGTTATTGAAAAAAAGGGTCTCCTCCTCATCTAGTCTAGGTGTTGTCCAATTGAAATATAATGTAAGCCACACATAATTTTGAGTTTTGTTGTAGCCATAATAAAAATGTTAAAAAAGAGATAAAAATAAATTTCAATAATATATTTTATTTAACCCAATATATCCAAAATATCTCCTATATAACCAATATAAAATTATTAATAAGATAATTTTATAATTTTTTAAACTGAGCCTTCAATGTCCTGTGTAGAGCACATCTCAATTCAGACTATTCATATTTTAAGTGCTCGGAAGGTATTTATGACTGGTGGCTATCACATTGGACATCACAGGTCTAAAAGATTTCAAGACTGCTTCTCTAGGAGTGAACATATTAATCTGACATGAGAAAAATGAGTAGAAGTTGGCAATGAGGAGGGTTTTGGAAAGAGCATTTTAGGCAAAGGGATTGGGGGTATAAAGACTTATAGATGAGGAAATTGTGGCATCATGGTTAATATCTTAATGGTGAAAAACTGTAAGCTGTTCCTCTAAAATCAGGAACAAGACAAGGATACCCACTCTCACAACCTTTATTTAACATAGTATTGGAAGTCCTAACCAGAGAATTAGGTAAGAAAAGTAATAAATGGCATCCATATTGGAAAAGAAGCAAAATTATCTCTATTTACAGATGATATTATATTGCATATAGGAAACCCTAAGGTCTCTACCAAAAAACTGTTAGAATAAATGAATTCAGTAAAGTTGTAGGACACAAAATTAATATAGAAAAATAGTTGTGTTTCTGTACCCTAACAATGAACTATCAGAGAAATTAAGAAAATGATCCATTTCTAATTGCATCACAATAATAAAATATTTAGCAATAAATTTAACCAAAGTGGTGAAAGACCTATACACTGATAAGTATAAGATGTTGATGAAATTGAGGAAAACACAAATAAATGGAAATATTTCTGTGTTCATGGAGTAGAAGAATGAGTATTATTAAAATGCCATCCTACCCAAAGCAATGTACAAATTCAATGCAAATCCTATCAAAATTCCAACGGCATTTTTCACATAAAGAGAAACTCCTTCAATTTGCATGGAATCATAAAAGACCCCAAGTAGCTAAAGTAATCTTGACAAGAACAAAGCTGGAGGCATCACACTTTTTGACTTCAAACTCTATCACAAAGCTATAGTAATCAAAACTCTATGGTATTGGCATAAAAACAGATACATAGATCAATGGACTAGAGAAGGTGCCAGCATAAACCCATGTCTATATGGCCAATTAATTTATAACAAAGGCATGAATATACAATGGGTAAAGGATAATCTTTTCAACAATTGGTATTGGAAAAACTGGGTAGCCACATGCAAAACAATGAAACTGAACCCCTATCTTATACCACACAGAACATTAACTCAAAATGGATTAGAGATTTGAACGTAAGACCCCAAACTGTTTCTATTTGCAACACACAGATGGACCTCGAGGGCATTATTCTAAGTTTTGTAAGCCAAATGGAGAAAGACAAATACTGCATTTACATTCTATTATGAGTGGAATCAAAAACTCATAGAAACAGAGTAGAATATTATTGCGAGGGGATGGGGGGTGGGGAAATAGGAAGAAGTTGGTAAAAGGGTACAAACTTTCACCTATAAGATAAATAAGGTCTAAGGATCTAATGTACAACATGGTGATTACAGTTGATAACACTGTATTGTATGAGAGTAGAACTTAAATGTTCTCACCAAAAGAAAAAAAAAAACCCCAAAAACTAAGTATGAAAAATGATGGGTGTGTTAATTAATTAGAGGAAGGAATCATTTCAGAATGATGTATGTGTATATCATCTTATGATGTACAATTTAATTTTCTTACAATTTATTTGTCAATTATACCTCAGTAAAGTTGAAAAAAAGATAAACTATCTAATAATGTCCTACATTGGTTACATGTTGAAATGATATTTTGGATATGTTAGATTAAATATATGTCATCAATTTCAAAAGAATTAGATGGGGGCAAATAGGAACAAATAACAAAGAGATTTAATTTAACCATATCAATAATTACATTAATATAAATGGATTAAACATTCCAATTAAAAGGCAGAGATTATCAGACTGGAGAACCCAGCTATATGCCGTCTATCAGATACACTTTAAAAATAAAGATACATATAGGTTGAAAATAAAGGGATTTAAAAAAGATGCCAAACAGTAAGCATTAAAAAGTTGGAGTGGCTTTACTGATACCAGATAATGTAGACCTCAAGACAAGAGTATTACATAATAGGAAAAGAGACATTGCATAATAATAAAAGGATCAAATCATTAGGAAAATCTAATTTAAGTGTGTATATTAGTCATATGCCTGAAGCAAAAACTGAAAGAACTAAATATATAGCCTAGTCTACAATCATAGTTGGGTATTTTAAAATACTTCTCTCAGAAATATATGAAAGAATAGACACGGCATCATTAAGAATGTATAACTGAACATCATAATCCAGCTTGATCTAATGGACATCTTTTTTAGAGTGCTGAACCTCAAACT